TTTTTATGCCTGCTGATCTCAACCCTTCTATCTAAATCCTTCTCATTTTCCATGCTTAGTACAATTGCCTCTTTCTTTGTGAATTCTCCATTTCCCTCTGTCATAATGAGTGTTTCATCTGCTATATGATGATAGTTTGCTTGCATTTCTGATAACACATACATTTCATTTATCCTCAAACAACTGAGTTATTTACATGTTTATCTCCCTGAATAGACTTTCCTTATATTCATTTTTCTACTCCCTCCAAAACTAAGCAAAGCACCTGCTCAAAAGTTCCAATGAATGGAATAAAGCAAAAACTATTTTGAAAGACTACATGTTTAAAAAGCATATTGAGTTATAAAATGTTCTAGTGTTTGGATTCAACACTGCTCCCCCAGCCCTTGCTCCAGTCCCAAAAGCTTCTTTTGAGGGTAAAGAAGTAAAATGATTCTTTTCTTATTCAGTAACATAAACATCAAATTCTCTCAGTTATCTATCATTCACTTCATTTTACTCTGCATGTATATCACTAGGTTTACAACTTGAAAACTTAATGTAATAAAGGTTCATAAACCACAAGTTTATGATTTCTCTAACCAGAAAGCATATTAAGAGCTACTCAGTACATTATTTTTTGCAACATTATTATACAATCCATACTTAGCTCTTTAGAACTCATTTAAATTCTGAACCTAAAAATGATGGCACTTAGAAAAATCTAAAGGGAAAACAGTTATTTCATTAGGCTAAAATAGCACAAGGTGGTCTGACATGAATTTCATTCAGGACTTTGAATATATTAGCACTTTTAATGTTTCCACCTGCTGTAAATATGCAAAATAATAACTTTAAAAAAAATTAACTCTGTAACCTTGCAATTTTTAAAAAACTAGAACATTTCATAACTTTAACTTTTCATCTTACTAGCAAATATGTGTGAAAAAGATTTATTTTTCCTTACTGTAGTGATTTCTTATCATAATAGAGTAACTCTTACAGTGAAAGTTACCAAAGTTTTGTATGTCGGGGTTCAGGGAGTACTATTCAGAGATACTTGGGCCATGCATTTATTCTTACAATGTATTACCTTTATATGAAAGAAAAATAATTCTAATCAAAGCATGTGTTTTATCTTCTTTTGGTAATTAAACATAATAGTAATACTTTTTTGACATTCACAATATGAAATATATGCAGTAATCATTTTACTTTATCACATGTAAAATGTCATAATGTGCAAGAGTCTCAATATTCAAAATATATCTATCTTGGAAACAAGAGGAGGTACAATTCAAATGTTATACACTATGTTGGATAAATTAAATTATTTTGTTAATGACTATCGAGCCAGCTATAAAACTACTGAGATAAAACTGTGATTCTCTAATCATTTTTTGTAATTGGTTGCTATTACAGATTCATGGTTTTATTGTTCAATGTTTAAATTAAAATCTGCAGATATTTTACTCTCTAGAAACCTTAACATCCTTTACAATTATTTCCAAATGTAAAATAGAAATGATTCATTTACCTGTCTGAGCGGTTCCAACATAACCAACAATTCTAATTCCAAGACTCTGTCCATCTTTTTTAATGAGTTCAACATCATAAGTTTCAAAAAGAGTAGAATTGTGCTGAAAGCAAAAAATAATTTTAATTATATATAACGTTTAGTTATCTAGCTTGTGTACATAGTCAATTTGTGCATGGTTTGTCAAGTATTTTCTGAGCACCTGTGGTACGCAGAATTTTAAGATTGTCTCTATGACTTTTGATCCCTGGTGCCATTCCTGTGTTTATATCATGGAAAAGGGAGATTATCCAGATAAGCCTAATCTAAGCAGGCACCCTTCAAAAGCAGAGAGTTTTCTCCTATTGATGGCAGAAAGGGAAGTGAAAAAGATTTGAAGCAAAAGGACTGGACTTGTGGTTTGAAGAAGGAGGGGTCATGTGAGAAGGAGCACAGGGGGACTTAAGGAGCTGAAAGAGGTCCTTAGCTGACAGCCATTAATACAGAGATTTCAGTCCTATGTCTACAAGAAACTATTCTGCCAATAATATGATAGAGCTTGGAAATGGACTGTTCCCAGAGGATCCAGATAAGAGCCCAGCCAGGCCAACACCTTGATTTAGGCTTTGTAAGACTCTAAGAGCCCAACAAAGCTCACCCAGACTTCAGACCTACAGAACAGTGGACCAACAAAGGGTACTGCTTCAAGCCACTAAGTTTGTGATCATTTGTTATACAGCAAGAGAAAACTAATACAGCCACTTAGAAAAAACTCAGCATAAATTTGTATCTGAAAGAATTTAAAGAAAAAGTTAGAAACAAATGGTAAGCCTAACTATTGTAAGCAAAAAATATTGACCTAAAACTGATTATCATTCTTGTCTTCTAATTTAAAATATTTCTGTAAAAGAGTAATGTGTCTAAAAACACAATACCTTGCTTTCAATTCAAACCATTAATAATAGAAAGTAAATAACTGATTGCATCAAATTCTCACTTATCACACAGCTACACTAGTCCCTCATTACAAAGTAGAAGGCTTCAGAAAACCAGAAGAATGGATGGAAAAGAAAATGGTTCTAACTAGTTTGGAAAAGAAAATGGTTCTAACTAGTTTGGAGAAGAAAACAAAAATCATTCTAATATCTCCGACAGAAAACTTCCACTCACACGGTTCCAAGTAGGGAAACCCTTTCCGGAAGACACCGAATGGTTCCTCAAATGAATTTGAAAGGTGGCTTCCCACCCCCTTCTCACCGTAATCACTTCTCTTTTCTTCTTCGTGGCTTGTCCTTTTAAAAACTATTTCTTTCCTTTTGCCTTATTATCTCTTGATTCAGAGCCTGTGAGACTGTTGGAAAGGGCTTGGGACTGAGGGATGGGGGGACCAGATTGAGGCAGTCAAAAGGTACAAAATTCCATTTGTACCTTGTATTATAAGATGAATATGTACTAGGGATGTAATATACAACATGATAAATATAATTAGCACTGTATGTTATGTATGAAAGTTAAGAGAATAAATCCTGGGTTCTCATCACAAGAAAAAAATTTTTTCTATTTCTTTAATTGTATATGAGGTGATGGATGTTCACTAAACTTATTTTGATAATCACTTCATGTGATTATCACTAGGCTGTACACCTTAAACTTATAAAGTGCTGTATGTCGATTTTATCTTAATAAGACTGAAAGACAAAAACCAAAAAAAGAACTTGGAATGGACCAGAAAAGTCTAAATTCAAACCCCAGCTTTGTAACTTACTACCTATATGACCTTTAAAACAAGTTATTTGGACTTCCATTTCCTCATCTATTAAGTGGATGATAAGACCTATCTTGCAGAATTCTTATGAAAAATTCAGATGACTTAGACAATTCCAGGTGCTTGATAATGATTAACAGTAATGATTATTATATAACTGTAATGATTGTTAATAATCAAAATAAATATTATTATTATTAATGTCTATTCCCTTTGGCCAGTCTGTTCTTATCAGTGATAACACACATACACTGACCAGTATTTACAGTTTCCCCTCCACTATCTGGATATCTGTTCACCAATCTTATGAAATAGAAACGCAGGTATTATTATTCTCCAATTTACAGATGAGTAGCTGAGGCTCAGGGAAGTTGAATGACTTAACCCTGAGAAATGGCAAAAAAAAGAAAATCAAACTTGTCTAGTGTCTAGTTTGTAGTGTCTACAAACTTGTCTCGTGTCTACAAATTGGGCTCTCCTCTGCTTCCCTGTTGAGCACTGAGACAACTCACACCCATGCGACACTTGGAGTGGAAAACATTTCTAATCCTGCAGTAAATCACACCCAGTACTGAATTTACGATGAAAGAGTAATTTGTATACTCACAGAACTAGGGCTCCTGTTGGCCACAGCAGGCAGAGCAACAGGTAAGGCTGCAGGGGTAGGAGGGGCTATGGAAATTTCACCAACTGGGTCTCTTGCAACAAGCATCCTGACAGAATTCCCACAGCTCCTCAGCACTTGTGCAACTTGCTCACTGGTCATTCCCTGCACATTTGTGCTACCAATCTTTAAGATGTGATCCCCTGTCTGGAGTCTTCCATCCTTTAAACCAAGGAAAAAAGAAAAAAAAAGAAAATTATTATGAGAAATCATTGGTCTAACTTCACTAGTTAATAACAATTCATCAGACTTGAGTCGTGGCAAAATGGCTGATAAAGAAGCCATCTAAAAATGCTGAATAAAATATAATACTTTTAATTAACAGCTGAATTGGCAACAGAGAAAAGGAAGTCCTTGTAAAAAAAAAAAAGAAGGGGAGGGGTGAGGGCCACAGGAGGTGAGTTCAAAAGGAAAAGAGCAACCAGATTCTTAAAATGGCCATTTGCTTGACGGTATCACTTCATGCCTAATGGCCCAGAGCCAGGTAAAAATAGCCACATACGAGACCTGAAAGCCCTGGGCATCAGGAAAGAAAGTCAGATCAAAGGCCACCGACAAAAAGTGAAGAACCCTAAGGGCCGACAAGCCCAGTGACACATTTGAGGAACAGCAAGATGTCAGTGTGGCTGGAAGAGAATGAGCAAAGAGGAGAGTAGTCAAGAACCGATCGGAGGGCTTCCCTCGTGGCACAGTGGTTAAGAATCTGCCTGCCAATGCAAGGGACACAGGTTTGTGCCCTGTCCCGGGAGGATCCCACATGCCTCGGAGCAACTATGGCCGTGCATCAAAACTACTAAGCTTGAGCTCTAGAGCCTGCGAGCCACAACTACTGAGCCCACGTGCCACAACTACTGAAGCCTGTGCGTCTAGAGCCCATGCTCCGTAACAAGAGAAGCCACAACAATGAGAAGCCCATGCACTGCAATGAAGAGTAGCCCCCGCTCACCTCAACTAGAGAAAGCCTGCGCACAGCTACAAAGAGCCAACACAGCCAAAAATAAATAAATAAATTTATTTGAAAAAAAGAACCCAGGGGAGCATTACCAGGGGGTCAGGAGTATAGACCATCTTCTCTGAGCCAGGGGGAAGGAAAGTCATTGGAGGGTTTTGAGCAGTGGAGTGACATGATCTGACTTATTTTTAACAAGATCACTCCAGCCTCTGTGCTGAAAATAGACTAAAGGAGAGAAAACAATAGAAGCAGAGATACCAGTTAGGAGGCTAATGCAATAATCTAGAAAGAGACAACAAGAGCCTGGACTAGGTTAGCAGTTGGGGTGTTGAGAAGTGAGATTCTAGAGGTATTTCTAGTGAACTGTCAACAGGCTCTGCTGCAGCTTCTACATGGGATGTGAGGGGAAAATGGAATCAAAACTCTAAGGTTTTAGCCTAAGCAGTTGGAAAGATAGAGTTGCTATTGAGATTGAAAAAAAAGACGACAGAGGAACAGGTGTGTGGGAACAGAAATCAGGAGTTCAGTTTTAGAGATGTCTAGTCTGAGATGCCTATTAGATATTGCAAGTGGATATATCAGATACATAGCTGTATATACAAGTCTGGAGTTCAGGAAAGAAGTCCAGACTATACATTTAAATTTGGGAGTCATGAGCATATAGAAGGTATTTAACATCATGACTCTGGATGAGTTTAGAGGAAGGATATGCAATCTTCTGTTTCTTAAGCTGGTGATATATATATATGGGTAATCATTATTATTATTATTTAAAATGGTCTACTCCTTAAACTGGATTATAGGTACATTGGTGATTATTATTTAAAATGTGCACACATTATATATACTTTTATATGTTTGTATATTTCACTCATGGAAAAGTTTAAAACATAATACATCAAAAAGTATATCAGGGAGGAGGAGGAAGATGGCAGAAGAGTAAGATGCGGAGATCACCTTCCTCCCCACAGATACATCAGAAATACATCTACACGTGAAACAACTCCTACAGAACACCTACTGAATGCTGGCAGAAGACCTCAGACCTCCCAAAAGGCAAAGAACCCCCCCCCCCCACGTACCTGGGTAGGGCAAAAGAAAAAAGAATAAACAGAGACAAAAGAATAAGGACGGGACCTGCACCACTGGGAGGGAGCTGTGAAGGAGGAAAGGTTTCCACACACTAGGAAGCCCCTTCGCGGGCGGAGACTGCGGGTGGCGAAGGCGGGGAACTTCGAAGCCACTGAGGAGAGCACAGCAACAGGGGTGCAGACGGCAAAGCGGAGAGATTCCCACACAGAGGATCGGTGCCGACTGGCACTCACCAGCCCGAGAGGCTTGTCTGCTCACCCGCCGGGACGGGCGGGGCTGGGAGCTGAGGCTCGGGCTTCTGAGCACAGGGAGAGGACTGACAGCATGAACACAGCCTGAAGGGGTTAGTGCACCACAGCTGTCCCGGGAGGGAGTCTGGACCTGCCGAAGAGGCAAGAGACTTTTTCTTCCCTCTTTGTTTCCTGGTGCGCGAGGAGAGGGAATTAAGAGCATTGCTTAAAGGAGCTCCAGAGACGGGCGCGAGCCACGTCTATCAGCGCGGACCCCAGAGACGGGCATGAGACACTAAGGCTGCTGTTGCCACCACCAAGAAACCTGTGTGCGAGCACAGGTCACTATCCACACCTCCCTTCCAGGAGACTGTGCAGCCCACCACTGCCAGGGTCTCGGGAACCAGGGACAACTTCCCCAGGAGAACACATGGCGCGGTTCTGGCTGGTACAACATCACGCTGACCTCTGCCGCCACAGGCTCGCCCCGCACTCCGTACCCCTCCCTCCCTCCAGCCTGAGTGAGCCAGAGCCCACAAATCAGCGGCTCCTTTAATCCCGTCCTGTCTAAGCGAAGAACAGACGCCCTCCAGCGACCTACACGCAGAGGCAGGGCCAAATCCAAAGGTGAACCCCGGGAGCTGTGAGAACAAAGAACAGAAAGGGAAACCCCTCCCAGCAGTGTCAGAAGCAGCGGACTATATCGCCACAATCAACTTGATGTACCCTGCATCGGTGGAATACATGAATAGACATCGAATCATCCCAAATTGAGGAGGTGGACTTTGAGAGCAAGATTTATTATTTTATCCCCTTTTGCTCTTTTTGTGAGTATGTGTATGCTTCTGTGTGACATTTTGTCTGTAAAGCTTTGCTTTCACAATTTGTCCTAGAGTTCTGTCTGTCCGTTTTTTTTGTTTTGTGTTTTGTTTTTTTCCTTTAAAAATTTATTTTCTTAATAATTATTTTTTATTTTAATTACTTTATTTTATCTTACCTTTATTTTATTTTATTTTATCCTCTTTCTTTCTACTTTTTCTCCCTTTTTTCTGAGCCGTGTGGATGAAAGGCTCTTGGTGCTGCAGCCAGGTGCCAGTGCTGTGCCTCTGAGGTGGGAGAGCCAACTTCAGGACACATGTTCACAAGAGACCTCCCAGCTCCATGTAATATCAAACAGCGAAAATCTCCCAGAGATCTCCATCTAAACACCAACACCCAGCTTCACTCAACAACAGCAAGCTACAGTGCTGGACACCCTATGTCAAACAACTAGCAAGACAGGAACACAACCCCACCCATTAGCAGAGAGGCTGCCTAAAATCATAATAATGCCACAGACACCCCAAAACACACCACCAGACGTGGACCTGCCCACCAGAAAGACAAGATCCAGCCTCATCCACCAGAACACAGGAACCAGTCCCCTCCACCAGGAAGCCTACACAACCCACTGAACCAACCTTAGCCACTGAGCACAGACACCAAGAACAACGGGAACTACGAACCTGCAACCTGCGAAAAGGAGACCCCAAACACAGTAAGATAAGCAAAATGAGAAGACAGAAAAACACACAGCAGATGAAGAAGCAAGATGAAAACACACCAGACCTAACAAATGAAGAGGAAATAGGCAGTCTACCTGAAAAAGAATTCAGAGTAATGATAGTAATGAGAGTAAAGATGATCCAAAATCTTGGAAATAGAATACACGAAATGCAAGAAACATTTAACAAGGACCTAGAAGAAGTAAAGATGAAACAAGCAACGATGAACAGCACAATAAATGAAATTAAAAATACTCTAGATGGGATCAATAGCAGAATAACTGAGGCAGAAGAACGGATAAGTGACCTGGAAGATAAAATAGTAGAAATAACTACTGCAGAGCAGAATACAGAAAAAAGAATGAAAAGAACTGAGGACAGTCTCAGAGACCTCTGGGACAACATTAAACGCACCAACATTCGAATTATAGGGGTCCCAGAAGAACAAGAGAAAAAGAAAGGGACTGAGAAAATATTTGAAGAGATTATACTTGAAAACTTCCCTAATATGGGAAAGGAAATAGTTAATCAAGTCCAGGAAGCACAGAGAGTCCCATACAGGATAAATCCAAGGAGAAACACGCCAAGACACATATTAATCAAACTGTCAAAAATTAAATACAAAGAAAACATATTAAAAGCAGCAAGGGGAAAACAACAAATAACACACAAGGGAATCCCCATAAGGTTGAGAGCTGATCTTTCAGCAGAAACTCTGCAAGCCAGAGGGACTGGCAGGACATATTTGAAGTGATGAAGGAGAAAAACCTACAACCAAGATTACTCTACCCAGCAAGGATCTCATTCAGATTTGATGGAGAAATTAAAACCTTTACAGACAAGCAAAAGCTGAGAGAGTTCAGCACCACCAAACCAGCTTTACAACAAATGCTAAAGGAACTTCTCTAGGCAAGAAACACAAGAGACGGAAAAGACCTACAAGAACAAACACAAAACAATTAAGAAAATGGAAATAGGAACATACATATCGATAATCACCTTAAATGTAAATGAATTAAATGCTCCCACCAAAAGACACAGACTGGCTGAATGGATACAAAAACAAGACCCATATACATGCTATCTACAAGAGACCCACTTCAGAGCTAGGGACACATACAGACTGAAAGTGAGGGGATGGAAAAAGAAATTCCATGCAAATGGAAATCAGAAGAAAGCTGGAGCAGCAATTCTCATATCAGACAAAATAGAGTTTAAAATAAAGACTATTACAAGAGACAAAGAAGGACACTACATAATGATCAAGGGATCGATCCAAGAAGAAGATATAACAATTGTAAATATTTATGCACCCAACATAGGAGCACCTCAATACATAAGGCA